CAAGTAAAACCTGATCAATATTCAGGAAATTATTTTTATGAGGACTAGGGCTGTCGCGCGATTAAAAAAATGAATCACGATTAATCGCGCGATTAAAAAAATGAATCACGATTAATTGCATTGTTGTTAATAGAATACCATTTATTTAAATATTTTTGGATATTTTCTACATTTTCAAATATATTGATTTCAATTTCAACACCAAATACAAAATGTACAGTGCTCACGTTATATTTTTATTATAAATATTTGCTCTGTAAAAATAAAAGAAATTGTATTAAGTGAATTGAAAAATACTATCTAGTGCAATCTCTTTATCATGAAAGTTGAACTTTTCAAATGTAGACTTCTATCCAAAAAGATATCTGTATTCAAAAACAAAACAATGTAAAACTTTAGAGCCTACAAGTCCATTGAGTCCAATTTCTTGTTCAGCCAATCGCTCAGACAAACAAGTTTGTTTACATTTACGGGAGATAATTTTGCCTGCTTCTTGTTTACAGGGTCACCTGAAAGTGAAAACAGGTGTTCTCATGGCACTGTCGTAGCCGGCACTGCAAGATATTTAAATGCCAGATGCGCTAAATATTCCATGTCCCATCATGCTTCAGCCACCATTCCAGAGGATATGCGTCCATGCTGATGAGGGGTTCTGCTTGATAACAATCCAAAGCAGTGCTGACCAACGCATGTTCATTTTCATTCTCTGAATCAGATGCCACCAGTTGATTTTCTTTTTTGTTGGTTTGGGTTCTGTAGTTTCCACATCAGAGTGTTGCTCTTTTAAGACTTCTGAAAGCATGCTCCGCACCTCTTCCATCTCAGATTTTGGAACTTTGGGTTGAGTGCTGTAAGTATCTTTAGAAATCTCACATTGGTACCTTTTTTGCGTTTTGTCAAATCTGCAGTGAAAGTGTATTTAAAACGAACAACATGTGTTGGGTCATCATTCGAGACTGCTGTAACACGAAATGGGTAAATCCGAGCTGTAGACCTACAGTTCTCCCCCAAGGTGTTCAATCACGAATTTAATTAAAGCACCATTTTTTTTATCCAGTGTTGTCAGCATGGCTGAACAAGAAGTAGGACTGAGTGGACTTGTAGGTACTAAAGTTTTACATTGTTTTGTTTATGAATGCAGTTATGTAACAAAAAAAAATCTACATGTGTAAGTTGCATTTTCATGATAAAGACGTTGCACTATAGTACTTGTATGAGGGGAAAAACATGATTTCTTTTGTTTATTATTTTTACAGTGCAAATATTTGTAATAAAGAATAAGAGAAAGTGAGCAGTGTACACTTAGTATTCTGTGTTTGTAATTGAAATCAATATACTTGAAAATGTAGAAAAACCTCAATATTTAATTTCAATTGGTATTCTGTTTAACAGTGTGATTAATACGGCGATTAATCATGATTAATTTTTTTAATTGTGATTAATTTTTTTGAGTTAATCGTGTGAGTTAACTGTGATTAACCGACAGCCCTAATTAGGACCATTAAAAGCTTTGTTTTTTATTGATAGTTGTTCAACTCAAACAATTGGAAGAAATGCTTTAACTTAAAGACTTCTGTTTAGCAGTAGTGGCAACTTCACGTGCTCAGCAGTCAAGAGTCAGGCCCCAAAAACCATGATACTGGCCTAAACATGATAAAATTAAAAAAAAAATATTGGAGGTTCAATTTGCCTTTTGGTTTTTGATCTTATTGGGTCTCGCTTTCAAGTGCTCCCTAACATTTCTCTGGAAATATGAAGCTTTTTTTTTTTTTTTTTTTTTTTTTAATGAAAGTGGAGATTCTGACAAAGACATGGCTCCAGAAGCTCAGGCTTTCAGAAAAACATCAAATATCATGAGACTTGACATTGCTTGTTTAGGGATGAGAGAGCTTGCAGTTCATATCTTTGGGTCCTTCAAGGAAAATATAGAGCAAAATGGAAAAGACAAGATTCGATATTTCTGAAGTTAAATATTATCAAGTTTTATCAACATTATCTTCCCATTCACTTTAAAAACAAACAAAGCAAAACTCTCAACTTTTCATGCCTTTGTTATAAGAGGAACAGTAGTGACCCGTATTTTTAGGTTGCCTGACATTTTTGAGTATATAAATTATTTTTCTTCTTTTGTAAAGCACTCTAATGCCTCCATGATTTGCAGCAAGGATCTAAATTTGGGAGGGGGATAGGCCTGGAGTCATAGAGGTGCCTTGGACTCACAAAAATCTGATTAGATAGGGCAAAAGATGAGCTGTCTAAAATCACCATTACAGTTGCATGTCACAGAATTACATATCTCTAGGAAATGACTTGCTAAACAACTATGTAAAAATAATGTTAATGTTAAGACTGAAAAGTCCAATACCCAAAAATTAGGAAATGCCAGAATTAAAAAATCTTAATTCTGTCGTCTTGTGCATATACATTATAATAGTATTTAATTACATCGTCTCATGTATTAGAATTAGGAGTCAGTATGTCCTAAATCCTAATCCTGGCTCTGCTACTAACTCAGCGTGTGGCCTTGAGCAAGTTACATTGCCTTTTAGTTTTGTTTGTTTTCCCATTTGTAAAGTAGGGCAGTAAAATCTACCTACCGCACAGGAGTATTATGAGGATTATTTAGGTAATATTTGTACATAAGACTATAAAAATACTATTTACTCTGAAAAATTAAATCTCAGATGTCTTAAATTGAGAGCCCATTTACTTGGGCACTCAGTGTTATTGTAGACTTTTGCAAATTTTGGCTTTAATGTCTGTGTGCCTCAGTTCCCTGTTTGTGGTAAATCTCCTACTTCACAGGGTTGTTGCAGAGAAAAAAATCAGTGTTTTTTAAGATTACGATTTTCTGTGGTGCTCCTCTCCATAGTATCTGTGAGAAAACGAATAATTCTTTACTCACTGCAGGGCTTGGTTGGTATGCGGTAAATAAGGCCTGGGGCTGCACAAATGATGAGGGTAAAAAGATATATTGAACAGATGCCTCATTCCCTAAGTGCCAGCCATCCTCTGCACTGAGTGAGGCAGAGTTCCTGTGGGAAAAATAGTATGTGATCATGTAATTTAAATACTGCATCATAATGTATATATGCACACTAGGGCAGAATTAAGGTTGCACAGGCAATCTTAATTCTGGCATTTCATAACTCTTGAGTGCTTGACTTTTCAAGTGTTAACATTCTTTTAACACTTTTTTTAATGTAATATATTATGTGAAGAAGCAAAGAGGGTACAAGTCTTCTTTTTCCACCTCTTTAGGTCATATTTAAGTGACTTGTCCAAGGCACATAGCAAGTCACAGATCCTGAATTAGAACTCTGGAGTTTGGGATTCACAGTCCTTTGAGTCCATGGGTTCTCAGGATTACAGCCCTCCTCGTCCCGTCCTCCCCCTGGCCCAGGTGGTTACAGAAGAGTGTCTGGGTTGAAACTATTCTGCCCTTTCCATATTTACTAGACTGGAAGGGGGTGGGGTTTTGACTTGATGGAATTGGGGTCCCAGTATGGAGGACAAACACAGCACTTGGTCATACTCTGTCTCTAAAATGGGTGATTCCTTCTTTAAAATAGAGAAAAATAAATTAATGTGTTTTCTTGAACTTGCTACAAATGGTTGTTGATTATTTTTCTTAATAAAAATTGAGACTTGCTCACTCTAAGGCTGTAATTGTAGATGTGTTGTGAAAGCTTCTTTGCTTAGCTTTCCAGAGCCACAGCCTTTTATAGCACTCAGATATAGTCACAACCTTAGTATGTTGTTGCTGAAAGCAGGCATGTTGTGTTTTGTGGTGATTAAATTACCTCATTGTGTGGGCTTTAGAGCCTACGAAGGGGCTGCTGATGAAGGGAGAAAAATGCAATCAAGTGTGGGGTTTGAATGATTGAGAAACCACTATAATTTGTGAATTAAGGCTGATCTCTAAATAGCTGTCAGTGGTCTGGATATTTCAGACCTTGCACTGCTTACATCCAAAATACTGTTGTATAGGATTCTTTGTGTACACTTACACAGAAATCAACTTCTCAAAAAAACTCCACTTAATCAACATTTAGAAATTGTTATAACTTTCCTCAGAACTTAAATTTTTTTTTTTACCAAAGTGCCATACTAAGGAAAAAAATAGTTCTAAACACACAATCTAAAAATTCTGACACTAAGAGGATATCCATATTCACTACTTAACAGTAGGCATTAAATTTCCTGTACAGATTCCTCCCCAGGTCTGTAAATAGATTAGCAAGTGCAGTCTGTCTCCTGCATTTGCGTTGAATCCCATTGACTTTGGTGGGAGTTCACATGATCACAAGTCTGCACTAATGCATCTAGTTGTAGGATAGAGGCCCAGAGCCTAAGCTCTGCAGTGGGATATCATTGATCACATTTTAGAATCAGTGCCTAAGATCAGGTTTGTATTAACACCCAGATTTTCCTAGTAAAGTGGTAAAATGTGTGTTTGGATTTTTAGTCTGTGACAAAGTTGGCTGAGCCTAAATACAAATGAGAATGCACTTTGTAACCATCATAGTAAATATCTGAGAGCAGAGCTGTTCTAATCAAGGTGTGGATGGGGTAAGCCCCTAAACACAGTTTGGCCCAAGCTTTGCTATAATTTTGTTGTGTTACATAGACATGCAAGAAAGAATGATGGTCAGTTGTTTTTCCTTTAGATAAAGTGCTCCTTTTAAAAAAATTTCCATTCCAGTATTGGCAAAAGGGGACCCTCACTTCACTGCTTGCACTTCAATCTGGTTTACAGTAACTGGGAAATAATAGAATTATAAGCACTCTCAGTTCTTCCCTTGCTATATCAAACTGTTTTTCTCCTCCACCCGCCACCCCCTCCCTTCTCAGGTCAATTTCATATTTATCTACTACATCTTTTACAAAAAGAAATCAAAAGAAATCATTTGCAGATTTACTCCCCCCCCCCCCTTCTTTTTGTTCCAAACTCAACTTAAATGTTATCTGATTATTGTCTTGTTTTTGTTTTGTTGTAGGGGGGGCTAGAGAACTGAAGGGGAAAATCTGTTTTCCAGAACTGGTAAGTACCTTTTGCTAGACAAGTAAAGCTTTCTTGATGCTAGATAAGCAATAATCCAGAATGTACACTATACTTTTATTAAGAGCTAGCATCCATAAATGAAGCAAGAAGTGTTGATGTTTCACTGGAGCCAAAATCCTGTCCAGTTTTGCATACAGGAACAATGTTAAAAAACTGACTAAAACTTAAATGTTGCTAACAAAGGTCCCAGTCGTGCCAGTGAAATGCTTGTGCGTGCAAGGATCACTGTGCAGTTTGAAGGATTGGGGCCTAAAATTCCAGTAGTTTTACAGGTCCAGTAGGCATCTGATTTAAATAACTAGTTAAAATGTAAAGACAATAGTGCTTAAAATGATTTTGTAAGGATCCTGGGTGAGGGTAAGTGGGACTGGTGGCAGGAGTTTGGGATCTCAGAACTGAATACAGGGGTCAGAGCCAGTATGAAGGTCAAGAGTCAAACTCAGGGTCAGAACCAGACAGTCAGGAATTGGGCTGAGGCTTAATTCCAGGTATCGGGATCTGTTTTGGGGTTCCAGGGGGTTGATCAGGAGTTGGAATCCAAGTTAGAGCGCCTCAGTGCGCAGCGCCCCGGCGGCAGCTGTAGGAGCGGCACCGCGGTTGGACTCTGACAGAGACCGCGGCACCGGCACTCCCCAGCACCGCAACCTACATCATCGGCCTGGCACTCTCCTGGCCAGAAGCGGCACTGGAAGCTGGAAAAGGCTAGCCCACCTCCGCAGAGACCAGCTTCCCTGGAACCACCTGCGGAGATGCGTCCCACAGGGGAGCACCTACAGCTTCGGCACCGTTGACTCCGGCCCTGAGGGCCAAGCTGTTGAGTCCGGTGCCCCTGGACTCCCCGACATGCAGCATGGTTGAGGTCCAGTTGCCGTTCACCCCAGATATCTTTGCAGCTGCAAGGGATCTTATTGCCACGATGGTATCCCCTCAGCCTCAAGCCAAGGCACCAGCGCCTGTCCGTGCAGCACCATCCTGGGGCAAGATGGCACTCATCCACCTGTTGGCACCGTCGGTCGAGCCGTGGCACCGATCCCATTCTCGGCACCGTTCCTGCTCCCGTCGCCGCTCGCAGTCCTGACACCTCCTTTGCGGCGCTGGTCGTACTCGTGGCACCTCTCTGACTCCTGGCACCTCTCTGCCCACCAGTCACCGTCGAGGAGCAGATCCCAGACCTGACGCTGCTCTCAACACTGGTCATCATCTCGGCCCAGGTCCAGGTCCCGGCACCGCTCCCCAGTGTTGCGCCACCGCTCCCCATCGCCTCATCGACATGACTCAGCGCAGGTCCGCTCGGCACCACCGTGGCCCTCACGTTCTTCCTCTTGTTCTTCAGGATCAGAGGCAGGGTCACGTTTCTCGGAGTGCCGACGTTTGAACCACAGCCACCTGGAGTCAGGGACTGGACATTGGCAGGCACAGGAGCAAGGTCCCGCTCAAGGGGCTGCTCAGTGGCCGTTCTGGACTCCCTGGGCATACCACCAGGCCCAGGGTGCTCCGTCTGGGGCTTCTCGATCAGCCCTGTCTGAGCCGCGAGTGCCAGAGGCTACTGCCAGTTGGCCTGCCCCGGGAGGCATGGAGACCATGACGGCTTCTCTGCCCGCTTCAGGACCTCCTCCAACACTGGTTCCTGGCCTGGGCACTGAGGTCATGGGCACAGGACAGCTGGGCCCAGCACCACAAGAGGCCCTAGGTGACCCTCTTTCGCCCCATGGCTGCTGCTGCCTCCTCCTCCTTACCCGACGAGGCAGTGGCAGGAACTCCAGACTCGGGTCCCCCTCCGATAGACCTCCGCGCCCACCAAGACCTCCTGCGCAGGGTGGCGTGGAATATGAACCCGCAGGCGGAGGAGGTGGTAGAGGTGGAGGACCCTATGGTGGATATTCTGACCGCTGAAGCTCCATCGAGGGTGGCCCTAGCCTTATTTGGACCATCCAAACCACCGCCAGAAAAATCTGGCAAACTCGTACATCCATTCCCCCGACTGCTAAGGGAGTGGAGCGGAAATACTTTGTCCCCTCAAAGGGGTATGACTATCTGTTCACACACCTGCAGCCCTGTTCACTTGTGGTGGTGTCAGTGAGCGAAAAAGAATGGCATGGCCAGCAGGCCCCAGCACCTAAATCAAAGGATGCCAAGCGCCTTGATTTATTTGAGTGCAAGGTTTATTCCTTGGGGGGGACTTCAGCTCAGGATCGCTAATCAGCAGGTGCTGATTTTAACAGTTTTAACTCCTGGAACTCCATCCTGAAATTTAAGGATTTAGTACCTCCTAAGTCCAGAGAGGAGTTTGGGGCTTTGGTGGAAAAGGGCAAAAGTGTGGCACAGGCCTTGCTGGATGCTGCAGACTCCGCCGCCTGTACTTTGTCCTCAGGGATCGCCATGAGGTGTATCTCCTGGCTGCAAGCCTCTGGCCTACCATCAAACTTCAGCAGACACTGCAGAATCTCCCATTTAATGGAGAGGGCCTGTTTTTGGAAAAAGACAGATTCGAGGCTACAAAGCCTTAAAGACTCCAGGGCAATAATGAAGTCCCTGGGCACGCACGCACTGGCTACCCAGTGGAACCCCTTAAAGCCTCAGCAGTCACAAGAGTGCCTGTATCCTCCTCGGCCAAGGCAGGATTTCTGTAGGTGGTGGGGACATAATGGGAGGAGGAAGCCCTCCAACCCCCCATCAGTACAAGGCCAGGGCCCGACTAAGCCTTCGTCCGGCTCAAATCAGGCCTTTTGAAGGGATACCCGAGGACGATATACCAGACCTTGTTCAGGATCCTACCCCACCTTTCTTGAATCGTATATCCCGTTTCCACCATGCTTGGTCTCACGTAACCATGGACCACTGCATCCTCCGCACGGTGGAAGCGGGATACTTTCTCCAGTTTTCTCCCTCCCACGCTCCTTCCCTGTCCCTCTTCAGGGACCCTTCTCATGAGCAACTCCTTATTCAGGAGGTTCAGACGCTCCTCACCATGGGGGCGATCAAGGAGGTTCCGAGGGAGCTAAGGGGTAGGGAGCTCTACTCCCGATATTTCCTAATCCCCAAGGCAAAGGGCGGGCTTTAGCCCATTCTGGACCTGCCTGGACTCAACAAGTTCATGGTAAAGTTGAAGTTCCGCATGGTCTCCTTGGGCACCATTATACCTTCCCTGGATCCTGGTACGCTGCCCTTGACATGAAGGACGCGTATTTCCACATAGAGATTCACCCGGCGCACAGACACTTCCTCCACTTTTTGGTCAACCGTGAACACGATGAGTTCACAGCCCTTCCCTTCGGTCTCTCTATGCCCCCCCCCCCCGAGTGTTCACCAAATGTATGCAGTCGTGGCGGCCTTCCTTCGTCGATGGCGGTTGCAGGTATACCTTTACCTCAACGACTGGCTTATCTGGGGGCGCACTAGAGAACAGGTACAGTCCCACCTTCGCTTGGTCATGGTCACGTTTCGTCGGTTAGGCTTCCTTCTCAATGTGGCAAAGTTGACACTAGAACCGACCCAGAGAATAGAATTCATCAGGGCAGTTCTGGACTCCGTGCAGGCTTGAGCCCTCCTGCCAGACGCTCGTTTCCAAACTATAGTGGGCCTCATCTGGAGCTTTCAGAGCTTTCCGACCTCATCAGCAAGGAAAGGAAAGGAAACTGTTAGTTCTTCTTCAAGAGCTATCCCTGTGGGCGTTCACTGTGGGTGTGCACATGCTCTGTATGCTCAGGACCAGAAATTTTTCAATAGCTATGCCAGCTCATCTGAAGCTGTGCTTCCTAATGCTTCCCTCTGAGGACATAAATGCTGGTATGGACCGCCTGATCCCCATTTCTTTTTCTGTCACCCATGGTTGGGGATGGAACCTCCTGTGTCAGTTTCTTTTCTTTGGTGTTCATTTTAGTTGAGTCTGTAAATACTATAAAAAGTATTCCTAGTTAGTTAGCAAAGTTTAGTGCTTGTTAGTTGGGGATGGGGTGGGGGTCTTCTCTTTCTAGTTCTCCCTTTTTCTTCAGTGCATCAATTATGCCCAAGTGCCAAAGCTTGCCTGGCATGCCCCTGGATTTTCCTAGTGATCATCTTCATGAAATTTGTGCTGCTTCAGGGAATTGCATGTCTCCCTCAAAGTGCAGTATCTGCCATGCCTTTCCTCCATGTATCAGACAAGCTTGTGATTTCAGGCTCCACAAGCACATTGTGGAGCTTTACACAAGGCCCTGTTAGGATCTGGGACCCCTCCCATTCTGCTTCCTCTCATCCGGAACCACCAGGCAGCACATTGCTGGTTTTTGGTACTGGTGGTTTTCAGTTCTCCCCCAAACACAAGAACTCCATGAAACAGAAACACGATACGGACCATGGCAAACTTTCCCACAAGAAGAGGAACAAATTCCTGCATAAGTCCTCCAAAAATATGCCTGCTTTGTCCCTTTCCCTGGCACTGCCAGAGATCTGTATCCCGGGATGAAAGCACTTGAAGCTTGTGCAGCAAAGAAGACATTGATGGTACCAGGAGCTCACAGTGCCCAAATCTCCACATGGACAGACCATCAACAACTCCTGTGCCTCATATAGATAGGAGGGACTGTTCTCCCCTTCTCCAACACTATTGACCATGCGCAGACTTCAGTCTCTAAGACAGAATTGATGGCCCTGACAAAGCCCTGGACAGTTCACCTCAGGCAGGTCCTTGATATGCTTTCCTGGAGGATTTGGCTATCTATGCAAACCTGGAGTTCCTGATTTTCACAGAGCTGAAACTGTTGCAGGAGGTCCCTGCTCCATCAGTCTACCCAACATTTGCCGGTACCAAGGCTTAGCCAGGACCTGGAGGCTCAGGCTCGGTTTCTTTCCCACCTACTGCTCCTGCTTCTGATCAGATGGAACCAAATTCCATGATACCCCAATGATGAAACATGAGGAGGCCTCTTCATTGGACGAATATGATCCAGTACCAACCGGCTCTCCAGTTAGCTGATGGAGGATTAACAGTCCAGGCAGGG